TAAAGGAAATACATCCTTCTGTAGTAATAGACTCCAGTCACCCCTGTCACTCACTGGTTCTCTCCCTTCCCATTCCTTTCCAGTCTCTCCCATCTTTTTATCCTCTTCTTCCTCCTGCCTTTTCCTCCCCATTCCCTCCCTTCTTATCTTCTTTTCCCTTCCTACTCCCTCCTCCCTTCTTATCTCTCCTTCTTTATCTCCCCTTATATATACATCCCTCTTCCTCTCTCCCCATCCTCCCTCCTGCTTTTCCGCCACTCTCCATCTTTCTCACTTCTCCCTCCTGTATCTCATTCCTTCTTTCCCTCTCCCCATCTTTCTTCCTCTTCCCTTCTCTCTCCTTCCCTTTTCCCTCCTCATTCCACCTCCCAGTGATTGAAATAAAATGAGTTTCAGAATTGGTTAGTCAGTGGTTTTTTCATTATTCTTAGGATCCCATGAGTAGTGAGAGGTAGGCTAAGTAGAATAGGCCCTGGGTCCTCTATTATCCTCACTACAGCCAGTGTAACTCAGCTTTTCTTTTTAGTTCATGTTAGCATTCTGTGTCAGATTTCATTAAAAGCAGAGTTTTGCTCCTTTAAAAATTTGAAAACCACAGTGTGTTATAAATTACTAATCAAGTAGTAGTTCAGGGGTATTCTTAGTCTTTTGAGTTTGAAAGAGTAGAGAACTTGGCTTTCCTGTGACATAGTACTCTAGGATTTCTCTTATAGTCAGTACCAAGCCGAATGGTATGCTAGTCTGAACCAATACAGCAGTTTTTGTGGGATTTTTTGGTCATTATATTACTAAAAACATAACCGGTGCAAGACAGTATTGTAAAAAGTAGTTTCTGATTTGAAACCACTATAATAAAATGAAACTAAGAACAGGCCACAACTCAACTTGATGGTCCTTATCCATGTACATAGAACTATTCCATTTTTATATATACAGAATAGGGGCAAAATTGATAGAACTATCATGGAGGGTAATTTGGTAATATGAACAAAAGCTTAAAAAATGTTTTTATTCTTTGACTTAGCTATCCCCTTCTGGGAATCTTTTTTTGTTTGTGAGGAAGATCAGCCCTGAGCTAACATCCGATGCCAATCCTCCTCTTTTTGCCAAGGAAGATTGGCCCTGGGCTAACGTCCGTGCCCATCTTCCTCTACTTTATACGGGACGCCGCCACAGCATGGCTTGACAGGCGGTGCATACGCGCGTGCCTGGGATCTGAACCTACGAACCCCAGGCTGCTGCAGCGGAGCGCGCACACTTAACCGCTGCGGGCCGGCCCCGGGAATCTTTTTAAGGGGGAAAATTATGTTGAGTGGATATTACTCTTTTGGCTACTCAATATAATTTGATTTGGCAAACTGCCATTCTCTCATTCCATGTCATTTTGGTGGACCTGGCAATCACATGACTCTATGACAAAAGTGGGAGTAGGACCCAGCTTGGCCAATCAAAAGATTTCAGCCCTTGGGACGTGGTGAGAGGTAAATGAGTTGACTGTGACCCAAACATTGAGTCTTTTTTGTGAATCGATCAGGACACTGAGAGAAAAAGGGTCACAGACTGTAAAACTTACTTGTTTGGTGTCACTAATGGCTACGTTTGGTGTCACTAATGGCTACCTTTGCTGTCATATGACTGAACCAACACAGAGGAAAAGAAAAGAGGACATGAGAAGTAGAGTCAGGTTCCTAAAATGACACTCCTGAGGACATCCTACGAATCCCAGTATCTAGCCATGCCTGAAGCACCATCACTTGGACTCCTCTGTTACAGAAACAAATACATTTCCTTTTTTAAAATCAAGTTTGAGTTGGCTTCTGTTCACTTGCAACCTCAAGTGCTCTGACTATATGTGATCCAAAAAGTAGGAAAAAATGTTGATGTGTAAGGATATTCTCTGCCTTGTTTTTTATAATAATTTTTTAATTAAAGCATTTTTGAGAATAAGTCTTAGGCCATACCATTCACCCAAATAAAGTATACAATTCAGTGTTATTTAGTATGCTCACAAATGGTGTAACCATCACTACAATCAGTTTTAGAACATTTTCATCACCCTCAAAAACCTCTGTACCTACTGGCAGTCTCTCCCCGTTCCTTCCCCAGCCCTAGGCAACTATGAATTGACTTTCTACCTCTATAGATTTGCCTGTTCTGGAAACTTCATATAAATAGAATCATACAATATATGGGCTTCTGTGTCCAGCTTCTTTTACTTACCAGCTGGGTCACCAATGGTGAACAGGTTTCAGTGGAGCTGAATCGACGGCACCAACAACAACAATCTTTCACTTACCATAATGTTTTCAAGTTTCATTCATGTTGTTGCATGTATCAGTACTCATTCCTTTGTATGGCCAAATAATATTTCATTCTGTGGACATACTACATTTTGTTTATCCATTTGTTGCTTATTGGACATTTAAATTGTTTCTACTTTTTGGCAATTATGAATTATACTGCTGTAAACATTGGTGAATAAATTTTTGTTTCTCTTGGGTACATATCTAAGAATGGAATTATTGGGACACATGGTAACTATGTTTAACGATTTGAGGAATTGCCAGACTGTTTTCCAAAGTGGCTCCACCATTCTACATGTTTACCACTAGCAGTGTATGAAGGTTCCAACTTCTCCAACTTCTCTTTGTCAGCACTTATTATCTGACTTTTTGATTATAGGTATCCTACTGGGTATGAAGTAGTAGATCATTATGGGTTTGATCTACACTTCCCTAATAGCTAATGATGTCAAGCATCTTTTCATATTTTTATGGCCATTTGTATGTCTTTGGAGAAATGTCGATTCACATCCTTTGCCTATTTTTTAAATGGATTGTCTTCTTATTATTGATTATATAAAGAATTCTTTATATATTGTAGAAATAAGTCTCTTATCAAATATATGATTTGGAAATATTTTCTCCCATCCTATAAGCTTTTTACTTTTTTGATAGTTTCTTTTGAAGCACAAAAATTTTTTTTATTTTAATGAAGTCCAATTTATCTGTTTTTTTCTATTGTTTTTGTTTCTTTTGTGCTTTTGGTGTCATATCTAAAAATCCATTGCTAAATATGAAGTCATGAAGCTTTACCCCTATGTTTTCTTTTAGGAGTTTTATAGATTTATCTCTTAAATTTAGATGTTTGATCCATTTGAGTTAATTTTTGTATTTGGTGTGTGGGTAAGGACCATTGATAGACACATGGATTTGTTTCCAGACTCTTAATTCTATTCCATTTATCTACATATCTGTCCTTGTGCCAATACCATACTGTCTTGATTACCAACTTGCTCTGGAGTAAGTTTCGAGATCGGGAAGTGTGAGTTCTCCAACTTGGTTCTTCTTTTTCAAGATTGTTTTGACTCTTCTGGGTCCCTTGCAATTCTGTATGAATTTTAGAATCAGCTTGTTAATTTCTACAAAGAAGGCAGTTCAGATTCTGATAGAGATTGTGTTAGAGCTGTAGATCAATTTGGGGAGTATCACTATCTTAACAATATTAAGTCTTCCTGTCCATGAACATGGGATTTTTTCCATTTATTTAGATCTTTAATTTTTTTCAACAATGCTTTATAGTTTTCAGAGTGTAAGTTTTGCACTTCCTTTGTTAAATTTATTCCTAAGTATTGTATTCTTTTTGATGACATTTTAAATGGAATTGTTTTCTTAATTTCATTTTTGGATTGTTCATTACGGGTATTTAGAATGACAATTGATTTTTGTATGTTGGTCTTGTATCCTGCAGCATTGCTGAACTCGTTCATTAGTTCTAAGAGTTTTTAGTGGAGTCGTTAGGTTTTTTTTTTATATACAAGATCATGTCATCTGTGACTAGAGATAGTTTTACATTTTCCTTTCTAATCTGGATGCCTTTTATTTCTTTTTCTTGCCTAATTGCCTTGGTTAGAACCTCTAGGACAATGTTGGATAAAAGTGGTGAGAGCAAACATCTTTGTCTTATTCCTGATCTTAGGGGGAAAACATCCAGTCTTTTACCATGAAGTATGATATTAGCTATGGGTTTTTGGTAGATGCCCTTTATCAGACTGAGGAAATTCCCTTCTCTTCCTAGTTTGCTGAGTGTTTTTATCGTAAGAAAGTGTTAGAGTTTCTCAAATGTTTTGTCTGCATCTATTGATGTGATCCTGTGGCTTTTGTTCTATTCCTTTCTATTGATGTGATGTATTACATTAATTGATTTTTGGATGTTAAGTCAACCTTGCATTCCTGGGATAAAGTGAGATTTATAAGTGTATAATTATTTTATGTATTGCTGAGTTCAGTTTGCTGATATTTTGTTGAGGATTTTTGTGTTCATATTTATAAGCATATTGATTTCAGTTTTATTTTCGTTTGACTTCTTTGTCTTGTTTTGGAATCAGGGTAATACTGGCTTCATAGAATGAATTGAGAAATGCTCCTCTTCTTCTGTTTTTTGAAAGAATTTGTAAAGATTTGGTATTCTTCTTTAACTGTTTGGTAGTATTCACCATTGACTCCATCTGGGCCTGGGTTTTTCTTTGTGGGTAGCTTTTTTTGATTACTAATTCAATCTCCTTACCTGCTATATGTTGATTCACGTTTTCTATTTCTTCTTGAGTCCATTTTGGTAGTTTATGTCTTTCTAGGAATTTTTCTATTTCATCTAAGTTATCTAATTTATTGGCATACAGTTTTTCCTGGTATTCTATTATAATCATTTCTATTTCTGTAAGGTTGATAGTAGTGTCCCTTCTTTCATTTTTGATTCTAGTAATTTCTTGTCTTTGTTTTTTTGTGTGTTCGTTTTTTTGGTCAAGCTAAAGGTTTATCAATTTAGTTCATTTTTCAACAAATGAGCTTTTGGTTTTATTGACTTTCTCTATTGTTTTTCTATTTCATAATGTCTTCATACTGATAGGGATATATTCATTTTTAAATTAGTTTTTCACAATAGAACTTAAGATTTATCAAGTATTTGCAAACATTATCTGAGCATTTTATTTGTTTGGTCAGATTCTCAGATGCTTAACACTGGAAATGATTTGAAAGAAAATGTCAGAAGTGATTCATTGCTGCTTACCAGTGGCAAGTATGATCTGAAGAAACAAGACAGTGTCACTCAAGCCACTCAGACGAGTCCAGAGGTTCCTTGGCCTTCTCAGTCAGTTAACTTTCCTGAGTGCTCCTTTGAGTTTACTAGGGAACAGGTAATGAGAAAACTAATTGATTCTCATTCAGTTTCAGCAATTAAAATAAATGTTAGATACTAAATAGTTAAGACATTATTTCTTTACTTATTTAAATAATGTGTATTGAGTTCCTGTTATTTGCCCAACCACTGTGTTAGATACTATGGATATAGTGTTGAGCAAGATAGGGACAGTCCCAGTCTTCAGAGAGGTTGTAGTCTAATAGGAAGATAGAGAAGTAAATGTGGGAGAGTGCCAGTTTCTGGAATCTAGGAAGGCTTTCTGAACGACATATTTATTTTGCTGTTTCATTTTTAAGTTGCAAAAGTGTTATAATATTTCAGAACATTGGAAAAATATTTTAAAACAACTTTAATACATTCTAAACTCCTACAGTACTATCAATATTTTTTAATTTTTCCTCTCAGGCTCTTTTCCATCTTTTTTTAAATATTTATAATTCTAGTGCATAACTATGTTTTTTTACTTGACATCATTTAACAGATATTTTTCTATATTGCTACATATGCTTCATATTTATTTTTAATGGCAGAGTAATATAGATGTAGGTGTACTGTCATTTCTAAACCTTCCTCTTAACATTTAACATTTGAGTTTCTTATTTTTTACGATTATAAATAAAATGTTCAACAGAATTTTAATTCTCTGTGATAGAACCACAGACTGAGTTCATCCATCTGTTCAACAACGATTTATTGGATGTCAACTCTGTGACAGGGATATAGAACTGAACAGTATACCCTCCCTATCTACTGAGAAACTCAAAATCGCCAAAAGTGGGGAAGACTAGAGTATGCAATCGTTGGTCACAACATACTGTGTCAAGTGCTGTATTAGAGATTGGGGGCATATGGGGCAATACCTAACTCGGTCTATAAGGCAGGAATTCTGAAGTTGGGACTAAAAGAAGTCTGAGAATTCTTTGAAATTAAATTCACATATTTTAATTATCTGTGTAAATGTATTTTTCTGGGGAGAAAGTCCTTAGTTTTATCATATCTTCATAGTTAGAGTTAGAGAATAGTTCTGAGATGATAAAATACTTGAAGTGAGTCTTAATGAGGGGAGGGGAGACTTACTGCCCATCTAGATGAAAATGTCTAATGAGGTATTTAGAATGTGGGTCTGGAGCTCAAGAGAGAGGTTTGTGGTGAATCAGGCTATATGTGATAGTTGGAGCCACAGGAGTAGATGAGATCATCTAAGAGAGTGATAAGTGATAAGCGATAAGAGAAGATGTGAGAGTAAAGAGAGAAGAAAGCGATAAGTGATTAAGTGATAAGAGAAGGTGACCAATTATGGAATCTAATAGAAGAGTAAAATTTAAGAGTTCTTAAACAGCAAAGGAAAAGATGAAAAGTCCATAGGTGGAGCGGGATAAACATGAAAGAGCTGTGGCATAAAAGCCAAAAAAGGAGAGAGGTTTTGGAAGGAGGGGCAAGGTCAGCAGTGTCTAAAGCCACAGAGAAATTGAAATTAAACAAAATCACTATTAGATTTGAAAATTAAGAGTTAATTAGTGTTTTGAATTGCTGGGTCAAAACTTATGAACGTTTTAAAGTGCTTGATATGTGTTTCCAAATAGCTTCTCAAAGCAATTTTCAGCTTATGTGCACCCTCAGCAGCATTGAGTTTTTTTACTGTCCCAAGTGTCACACTTTTAGATACTATATAAATAGCTTATGTTTTCTGAAAATAATTAAATTCTCTTATTTTCAAAATTTATCATTTCAGCTCATAGAAGAGAATGAATCTCTTAAACAGGAATTGGCTAAAGCTAAAATGGCTCTTGCCGAGGCTCACTTGGAAAAAGATGCTCTTCTTCATCATATAAAGAAGATGACAGTTGAATAGCCGGAGTCAAAAACTCAAATTGAAGCTGTGGAGTAGGGAGGTTATATTTATAATGTGATGTTACCAGTTAGTAGAAGATTTTCCTTTTCAAAAAAAAGACAATAAAATGAAATGGAATGTGATGAAGTGGTGACTGTTCCAAAGCCAGTTTAGAAAGTATTAGGTACGTGTGTTACAATCTTTTGGTTGTTTTGTGTTTAACCCTCTTTTAAGCTGGTGTGATATAGGGAAGTCAACACATACTGTAAAATAATTACATGCCTAGTGAAAAGAGGGTGTCATTTCCTAATTTTGATATCACATTATAGGCATTTTTTAAAAAGAAAAATGAAAACCTCTTGTGTTCCCACAGATTGCTGAATTTATTTATCACTATTTGTTAATAATTTACTATTATTTACAAAGATTCAAATGCTTCTAGGGCTAATGTAAAATAAAAGGAGGCTTACGTTTTAAATGTTGTTAAAATTATGTACTTTAATCTATAATTAGTTACTGTAAAAAGTCCAGTCAAATTAATAAATTATATAAATACTGGGTTTGAAAATTCTGGAAAGTTATCACCGTACTGAACTTGAAAGTAACTTGAAAATGTGAAAAAAGTCATTTTAAATGATGGGTGAACTGTATAAGTTGAAGCTATAATTTTCAACAAAAAAGATGGTACAATTGTAAAAATAAAAAGCACAAACTGTAAAAAAGCAAAACATTAGAGTATATGGCCAACTGACTTAAAAAATATTACTTGTACATTCCTTTAAACATTTATTGTTAGAAGTAAAAGAGTAACTATCCTGCTAAATTTGGCAGCATTTGTAAGTATAAGAATTTTAATTAATACTATTTATATTATTTCTTTACCTTCATCTTTCCTCTATTTAAGGAGGGGAATGTTTTCGGAGAATTTTCTTTTCATATTCATAAAACAATTTTGTGCCATTCTTGTAGTATCATGTTAGGTGAATATTTGCACATACTGAATTTATAAAGCTAGTTTTAATTAAAGCTCTATGTGATATATATACTATCTTCTATAATAAGAATAACTGGTAAATTTTACATTCTATTTTCTAGGAATTATTAAGGTTGAAACCAACATGAGAGAGAATCTCAATCATGCATTATGAAATAAAAGTTCATGAGTGTTTAAGAAACAGAAGCTTTTAAAGATTTAAATATATTTCTGATAGAATTAAACTAAGTGGGGTCTATTTTAAAATTTACATTCTTAAATGTAAATATATCCAAGATAGAACATAAAACAGCTGGACTATTTCTTTAAGATACTTGAGCATTTTAAAGCGGATTACGACACGTTCTGGTGCTTTGCTTGTTTGGCGTGACTTATGTCGCCGTCTCTATACCTGAGTACTCGGAGGAAAATACACGGTTCATTTACATTAAGTGTTGGAGTGATTCAGATTTTATTGAAAACGGTACTTTTTTTCTCCCATTTTCATTGACATTACTTAAAAATAACATTGTTTTGAGACCTGAGAATACAGCAAAGAACAAACTAAATTGTTAATATTTTTACCTCAGAGTATTTTAAAAATCATGTTAAACTATGTTCATCTAAAACTATATAATAGTCTTAGATTAAAAGCAAAAGTCTAATTAAAGATTTAAAATGTATAGCTTATATCCTTAGTAGAGTACTTTTGATTTATAGGTATATATTCAACAAAAGCAATCTCTATTACAGAAAAGCAGTATTGAGGGGATGTTAATGTCTTCAGAGCTGACAGTGTTTTCTCAGGATTGACCTATTTGCTCTATATAAATATTATATTTATGGTATATTATAATTGTTTAGTGTTACAGAAACTGAATGTTTTCCTTATTCCTTTTCAATTTATTTGGCCTTCTCAAGAAAACCATATAAACAGTAGAGATGATAATTAATATGGATCTGAGCATTCTATATGCTTTGTTGGAGTTTGTAAAATTTATAGTGAGTACTATTTTTACAGAGATTTAAAATTCATAAAACACTTCCAAAAATATTATCTCCTGTAATTCCCACAACAAACCTGGGAGGTAGATATTATTCACATTTTAGAAGTTAAATAAAAACTCTAAGGCTCAGAAAGAACAAGTGACTTGACTGAAATCACAATTGAAATCACAGTAACCTGTTCTTTTGACTTAAATTCCAGTTATATGCTTTTATCTTACTTTAGTCATAAATTCACAGATTTTGCCAGGGGTAGGGAGAGGAATCATTTACTGTCTTTTATCTGTTTTTCTTTTAAAGATAAATATAATATTTTTAATAGTGTGTGTGTGATGTGTGTATTATTTAAACTGCTTAAAAGATCGTGGGAGAATTTTTGTTTGAGTTAACCCCAACTTTTTTAGCGGTGTGAGAAATATAGGATCTGAGAAATATAGGATCTAGTAAACTTACTAGAGTTTAAAGGGTCCACAAATTAGAAATAAAGTTGCCATATCTTGATTTGTTTTTTTGCTAAATTTCTAGCAGAGATGTTAGTGATCAGGAGAAGGAAATGGTAATCGTGTTTTGCTTTTTAATTTCATGTATGTCAAAAACTTTCTCTTGGTATCCTGTATTTTTTTTCATGTTATCCCAGAATTTCAAAAGACTAACACGTGACACTAGTTGTGATGAAGCGTTATTTTTATTTAAGCCATATAAGAATGGCTGTGTATGATTGCAGGCCAATATATGTGGAAAAATTAACCAGAAACTCCTTTCTAGGTTTTTACTGTTGTTATTCAATACTTGTCAATACATGAGTTATAACTTATTCTTCAATTTATTAACCTCCAGTCTAATCAAGGCATCTTCCTATTTCAGTGTTTGGCACCACCATTCACCCTGGTTCCCAAACTAGTAACCTAGAACTCATCTTAGACACCTTCCTCTCTCTAGCTCTCCACCCCCCATCAATTCATTACAGGGTCCTGTCATTTTACCTTGTAAACATCTCTCAAATTTGTCTGCTTTTCTCCACTTCTCCTCACCTCCCTAATCTAAGCTTGGTCAGCACCTTTTGATTGCATTACTGCAATTGCCTCCTAACTGACCTTCCTACAGCTACTCTGGCCCTCCTCTGAATCAGTCTCTATATTGTGGGCAGAATTCTCTCTTTTGAAGTGCAGTTTTAATCAAGACAACTCAGCTGCCCCCATTCTCACCCCTAGCTTAAAACACTTCAATGGCTTTTCATTGCTCTTAACAATGAAAACAAAAATATTTTCTGTGACCTATGTGGTCACTTACATTGGGGCCACTATCTACTTGATAGGGTAATTCTGAGCATTAAAAGAACTAATGTCTCAAAACATTAAAACAGTGGCTGGCACATCACCTTAAAAAGCACTCAATAGAAGTTAGTTATTATTAGCGCTCTTAGTCACCCTCATTGTGCACCATGTTTCAGTTACTTTGTGTTCTACCTTCATTGCAATTGAAGTATCTGGAACGTGTGAGAATTAAAGTGCTTCTTCCACCATGGGAATCTTTTCTTGTGCTGTTCCTTTGGCTTGAAACACCTTTCCCTGTTGATTGCCTAGTTAATTCTTATTTGTCTTTCAGATCTCAGCTTATTCACACTTCCTGAGGGAAGCATTCCCTAATTTCTGTCACAGAGTAAGACCCACTGTTATACATTAGCACATGACCACACACCTCTACTTAGCATTGAACACCTTTGTAATTTTATATGTATTTGTTTGATTAACGTAGACCCTCTAGATTGTAAACTCCATGAGGATAGGGATTGTGTTTTTGTTGCTGTCATTGTTCAACTTTGTATTCCTTATGCCTCGTACAGTGCCTAGCACATAGTAGGTGCTCAATAAATTTGTTGAAAGAATAAAATGAATGGATGAGGGTACAAGGATGTTTTTCAGGTATTGAGTTCTTCCTCTCTGTTGCATTGAGGGGAGAAGAAATACAGGCAGAAGTAGGTGGTGGTAGTTTTTAAAAGGGGGCAGATTCCTTGAGTCCATAGGGAAAGAAAAAGGTGGGGAATGGGGGAATTTGCCATACTGTGTTCTTCAAAATTTTGAACTTGTGAACATCTAGTTGATTTATCACAAAAATTAGCACATCACTTCATAAAACTACTACTGTGCCAGAATGTCATCTGGCCTTGATTGTAACAGGTGGTGTTGTGGCTGTTGAGATCTGCCAGTCCTAGTAGCTAAACAGAATGGAAATAAGGCCAAAAGAGTAGTGGCTGAAGTAGTTTTCAATTTTGAGAAATTGACAGGCAGGATCAGTTGTACCTAATTCCTTAAAGTGCAAACAGTATCATTTTAGCTTTTACCTAAAGATGCTAAGGAAAGTACATTTTGAGCCATGTCTCAATTGCCTTTTAGAATATGTAAAATACCAAGAGTTGGAATTACACAGGATATAGAAACACCAAGCAGTGATGTTTTTCAAACACTGATTTCTTCAGTAAATTATACTTGATCAATTTTTTTTATTTTTTACTGCCTTTTTTTGAGAAGTACAAAAATTAAAGTAACATGAAGCAAAAATCTAAGCACAATGGTTTTTATAAACCATTAGATACTATCTAATGAATCATCATAAAGTGGAGGGAAAGTTATGTTAATGTTACAGTATTGAAACTCAGCATATGTTTTGCCAACACTACTGTGTAGTCTTGGCAGGTTTGAGAATTTGAAACTTTTCTTTTTTTTTTTTTTTGTGAGGAAGACCAGCCCTGAGCTAACATCCAATGCTAATCCTCCTCTTTTCTGCTGAGGAAGACTGGCGCTGGGCTAACATCCGTGCCCATCTTCCTCTACTTTATATGGGACGCTGCCACAGCATGGCTTAACAAGCGGTGTGTCAGTGCGCGCCCAGGATCTGAACCGCTGAACCCTGGGCCACTGCAGTGGAGCATGCGCACTTAACCGCTTGCGCACTTAACTGCTTGCGCTACCGGGCCGGCCCCTTGAAACTCTTTCAAGAGAAAAATTTTAAGATATTTGAAATCAACTTAATGTCTATTTCCTATTTGTATATATTATAAAACGTGTGATAATTATTTGGTCTTAGAAAAAAAGTATCACTGAATCACTTAGAAGAGTAATCAAGGTTTTAAAAGATTCTGAAACCACTCAGACAAAAAGGCATTATTATATAACTTATGAATTATATTTTATTTTCACTGTGCTTGTGTCATCAATCAAAAGTTAATTCATTCTTTACAAGTTATTCTAGACTGATTGTTAAGTGAAATTTATCATTCTTGACTTAATTCTTCACTGGGTGAAGAAATATTTAATTGTTTAGGTGAAGAAATACTTGTGCATTATGGAGGTTAAGAATACAGTGAGGTGATTAACCTTTATCTTGCAACCATTTAGTAGAATCATTTTGGTTGATATGACAAAAAAGAATTCAAATAATCACAAATGTCATCAAGAATAAATGAGAATTAAAAAAAAAAATAGGCATGTGAATAAAGGTTTAAATAAGTAGAGATCAGAAGTATCCCTGAAGGATATGGGTGAAATAAATTTATAGGGGTATGATCAAAGTCCATCTTCCATGATATTTAAAGTCACTCCCATTAAAATAAATGTATAGT